CCTTTCGGTAGCATCGGGATATTTTGAACTTTGATAACGACTTGTTAACATCTCTGATGGCTAACTCATCATCTAGCGCCCATGCCAGTATTAGGTTGTCACCAGTGATGGTGATGGCCAGTGGTTCACCTGTATCTCCTTGTCTGAGGCTGACAGTCTTTCAATCTCCTGCTTCCAATCAGCACCTCGCTATCATGTGGCTCACCGCTGGGACTCTTCACCTCATCGTTATGGCTCAGACTATCGCCAGAGGATCGGGCCGAGATGATCAACTAGAGAATATCGACCAGGCCTTCCAGAACTTCACGAAAGAGTGAGATAATCCGTTTCCTTCAGCTTCCAGCTTTTCCATCGCCTATCGCAATTTTTGAAGATACAATAAGAAGTATGAAACGGACGAGCAGTACCAGGTTGCAAAGGCTGCTTTTGCAGAAAGCATGAGAGAGATAGAGGAATTGAGAGCAAATGGTTGGCGGCGGAAGCTCATGCCCTCTCATGTTTATTATTCAGGCGATATAACTCATGAGGTCGGCCTCAATGAATATGCCGATGTACCATCCGGAGTATTCGATAAAGCGTTCCAGTGCGCTACAGATCCGCAGTTTAGAGAAAACCTGCGCTCAGTCACTTGTACTATCACCTTGCTCTTGCTCCACTGAAGCAGAAAGATTCCCTCAGACCCACAAGACGAGATAGAAGCTCCTCCCCCGTCGGTTGACTGGGAAGCCGCTGGTGCTTTGGCTCCAGTCAGGGATCAATCGACTCGGCTGAACAAATGTGGCGCTTGTTATGCCATCGGCGCTACAGGTAAGCCTCCGATGGCTTTCCATACATCATCACAACCGTCGGTTCCTCTTCAGTCGTTTTGGAGAGCCGTTTCAAGATACAGACCGGCATTGCTAAAGTGGTTCCGTTCTCAGTTCAACAAATAGTTGATTGTAGTAGAGCCTACAAAAATGAGTGAGACAACATTCAGTTATTCGCCTGAACCACGTTATCCTCTCATGACCTGATTCTACCTTCAGAGGTTGCGATGGAGGTACCGCCAAGTGGTCATATCTGTACACGAAGGATAGTGGTATAGTGCGAGCCAGGAGCTACCCCTATAAAGCTAAGGTTGGCGCGTGTAAGAATTCCATCACTAGGGATCCAAACCTGAAGTGTCTCAAGGTGAGTATCCCTCAACACCGCGATTCAGTGCTGGTTGTTGTTATCAGTATGGTGATATCGATAGAATCGTTAACGTACCAGCGGCCAACGAGGCTCTCATGATGCAAGCTGTAGCTACCGGGCCAGTGGCGGTTAATCTGTATGCTTCCGCCCCGCCATTCAAACATTACAAAGGCGGGATTATCACAGGTGAATTTAGTCTCACCTAGGAGCGACACATGTTTCCGTTCAATTTCGTAGCCAAGACCTGCGGAGTGTCTACCCCGGTCCATACGGTAACTATCGTTGGTTACAACACTTCATCGGATGGAATTCGGTGAGATCAAAGTATCAAAGTAGCACCCGGTGTCCACTCGCCTACATGCTAGGTATTGGAAAATTCTCAACTCCTGGGGGAAGTCTTGGGGAATGAAAGGCTTCGCTTACATCGAACGAACTGGCAACGAGCCCGGTAAGTTTCAGTGAAAACTGCGGCGCGGTCGTGTCCACTTCTGTTTCTGATCGGAGCAGCCTGCTAGGAGCAGTCACTGCTCCTACCATTGTGACTATGTGCAGTTCATCTGTAGTTACTAGATGATCTATAGGTCCATGTAATATCCTCTCCCGCTCCGAAGTTTACCCCACCTTCCACTCTATGATCAAGAGCTCTCCCTGCGCTGGAAGTCGTTGAAGGTGCTTCACGTGGGACAAGTCGGGCCGAGATTTTTTCGCGCTTGATGCGACGCGCCATTGGGCTATTCTATGATGCTGATACCCATTCATCATTATGCTGTTACATATGTTACAAATACTTGTATGAGTTATCATGATAACTTATCATGTAGCCAATCCATACAATCGAGGATTGTGTTCGTTTGAGACATTGTCAGTCTCAAGATAGAGCTTCACTTTCGTTGTTTTCATTGATCCGCACAAGCCGGATATATGTTGAATGGTTGGTGCTGTATACTCGAACCAAGTTGAGTTGGAAGTTCAAAAATCACAGAAGCAGTTGTAGACTTATCTAATACGTGTATCATAGATAACTTTGAGAAGGCATTCGTCGGCTCTACTCAGAGGATGAGGGATCATCCCTCAGGGATGTACCATTGTAGCCTGCATAAGACGATTGAATCCTCTGAGATGCTTCTGGTCTGTCGCGACATTGAAGCGAGACCTCAACAGAGCATGGTTTATCTAACTGAAGAGATATTCGGTCCGAGACTGATTCCGATACTGTACGATGCATCTAAACCTTAAAACGGGACGAGCTCGTTGGAAGTTCCACTTGGAACGGGCGAAGTTAGAAATCAAACCCGAAAATGTAACTTCATATTTGCATTTAGAACTTCCACAGTTGTCACAGGCCATTCAAGCACTTTGAGCCAAGGCTTGGTTACCGGGCTTGTCCGAGGTCGATAGGAAGCCCGAGTTCGTGTTGATAGAACTTCCAGTTCCGTCATTCACATGGAACTCCTCCATTCCATCCTTCGAGGAATATCGATTTCGTTGTTGGGAACGCCAGTTTTGTGGTAGCAGACCGTTACTTGATAGTTAGACGAGAAGCCTTTCTAAAGTATCACTCTAGTTCCTTTGGAAATAAGCGTATCAGAGATAGCCTCGGAGATAATATTTCCGTGAATTCTGAGCTTTCAACTTAACTTGTGTCCATAAGAAAGCACCAATCAGAAAAAGCACTCACTACTAGAGTCCAAAGTTCAACGATACGACTGTTCACTGCTCTGTATCTGGGTAGCGATATTCAGCTTGTGTAAAAGGTTCTTGACCAAGTTGATCATTGTATCTTACTCATTTGGCTTGAGCTCATCATAAGCAATCCATACACCACCTCGGAATAGTGGTGGTAGGTGCTTCAACTGGTCGTCGTCTTCCCACTTGTTAGCAGTTGCACACACCTTGAACTTCCGTACCCATTGCTCGAAGTCCAAAGGGCTTGTCAGAGGGTCGAAGCTCTCAGATGAGGCGAAATATAGGCTCGGGTCCATGAACAAGGAGCTGCTACTCTGGAATATCAACTCTGGTTGTGCGATTGGTTATGCTGATCGTCCGGTGATGATTTTGTGTGATAATGCAGCAGGTGTCAACAAGGTCTCTCTCGACTCGGCAGTGCCCATTCAACCGGGATGAATGGTCTCCGGTATAATTCACCACCGCTTGGGATCACAGCAATGCCATTGATGCAATGGTGTCCGAGCTTATCAGCCGAATAACAAGTCAATGAGGCCTAAGGCCTGGGGCGTATGGCCAGAGGCCTTGACATTCACTGCCTACGAGACGAGTATGCATGTGATGAGATTGTGTTATTGTCTTCTTTTGTGTATATATGGAGCTAGTATCTTAGCGTAAGCTAGCGCTACTCCGTGTTGCTATACTCATAATTACAAGATAAGTTTGAAGGCTAAGTGTCCTCAACGACTCAGTGTGAGTTGTGTTGTGGTGATCAATATTATTCACTACATGCAGCTACATACCACGCGGAGTACAACCGATCCCGGATTCCGGGACCCGGATGATTCGCGACGACTTGGCCTAACTTACTTAACTCGTAGATTATTGGATAAGTCTTATTCGACAAACGCGAAGACAGCGAGACACAAAGCGGGTGTCCAACTGACTCATGCTGCAATAATTGCAGTGCAACTAACGCGCGACATAGATCGATCTCCGACGGTGACTCAGTCACGTGGTAGGGGGACTTCCGGAACATATTCTGAATATTTATCCGAGGACGTAAGGATGCTGGCATCAACATCAGCCGGTTTCAGTTCTGCTTCAACGACCCACATTATAAGATGCAATGGTCTGGTACTCCTTCGCAACTTCGTCGACGTGAAAATCGCGGCATACGGTCAATGAGTTAGTAACTCACTATGAGTAGATACCTGAATGTTGCGTGACATATGACTTGAAGAAGTAATAAGACGAACGACACGTCACAGGTAATGTACCCAAAAATGGTCTAATAGCAGCAAAACGAAGGATATGTATGACTTACGAATTTTCCGTTTCAGGCTCTGTCTCGTTCGGTGGAGTTTTGAAGTTGAAGGTTGAAGTTTATCGTTTCTGACCGTTATCTTATTAAGTCGATGATTATACTGATATTGAGTCTCTTGCAATAGTCTCGCATAATGCAAATGATCTTTCACCTTGAATTAAATCATCATTCCGACAAGTAATTATTTTAAGAGCCAATCAGGTAAACGCAATAGCGCAGGAAAAAGGATGAGAAGATACATTAGCATGCAAGTTAGCGGGCAAGATACGATCATACCATAATTGGGCATGAGTAGCAAACAGACATGGAATCACACAGCATTTCTTCATTTGAAAGTTTACCCCCGGATACCTCTCAACCATGACCAGCACGGGAAAGGCCCTCTCTTGCGGAGGGCACGGAATCTGCTCACCTATATCAAAGCGATAAGTATGCTCTCGACTTACTGGAGATATATGATGGTTTGCAGAATAATTATGACGATGCCCAAGGGAATAGCTACGCTGACCGCCGACGGCCCTCCCCCGCTTCCCTGATTTGCTACCACTGTCGTGAGATTACGTGAATCAGGGGAAAGAGTCGTTTCAAAGCCTCTCTGAGAAGCAGGTTATGATATATCAAAGTGATAGAGATCGTTCCGCACTTCCGGGACGAGTGGAGGCACCGTAGTAGTCGTCTCACCGGGGGCCAAACGAACAGAACAGAAACTGAAGTAGATGCAGGATGCGACGTAGTGACATCAGCAGTGATCAAACTCTGTTGTGCCAGCCTCAGTGATGACGTGTTTCCAGCCATCTTCACACTGACATGCCATCAACAGATCACTCCATTGCCCATGGGATCCGCAGCCGGCCATGAGAACCTCTCAAGAATGAGGACACCTCCCCCTCTCACCTTGCCCCGCCACAGTTGAGGTCGACCTTGCACTTGTTAGATAAACTCTAGAGGTATTTGTAGCCCATGAAGTGGTGAACGGCTCCGAGGTAGTTGCCGATCCGCCAGTAACCGAACGTGGGATTGTCGAAGTTTCAGCGGTAGTCAAACGCGTGCTAGTTGAAATGGTTGTTAAAGGTGGCGGAGTAGTTGTAGTCGAAGTAGTTGTAGTTGAAGTGGTAGTGGTTGATGTGGTGGTAGTTGTAGTAGTAGTAGTAGTTGATGTTGTAGTTGTAGTAGTAGTTGTTGTAGTAGTGGTTGTCGTGGTAGTCGTGGTTGTATTCGGCGCTGGTACGAAGTCTCGGAATACACCAGCTGATCGAAACCACATCGTAATCGACATAAATCGACCAACAACTCACGAGTCCGCACATACAGCCAGCCAGTGTACTCGACGCATTCTTGAGTAAGGTAGTTTGTCGACCAATAATTGCAAGGTCTCCAGGGCCCTAAGCTAACCTGTTGTTGGGGTAACGCGATGTGGACTGAAAGGAAATACAATCTAATTGAAACCTCGAGTTCCAACTGTACAGCGACGAGCCCGCCACGAACCATCGTGATCATAGCAAAGGGCCCTGAAAACGAGCTCTCCATCACCGATTTCAATCCTGTGGTTACCTTCCACGGTAATCGCCAAATTCCATACAAGCTGAAAGGAAAACGGAGTAAAGACGTGTAAAAATGCATCATCCTACTCCATCTATCATCTGGTTCACCAGTACCGTTCCAAAAATGGCAGAATCTGAAAGGACTACGGTATAGCGAAAACGGTCGTAAAAAGTCTCACCGCATCCAGGTACCGCGGGTGTCGACAGCCGAATACCAACCCTCGTCACAGTCGCAGAACTGGCCGTTCCACTTGCCACGATCGTAACAGTAGAAGTCCATGTTTTTCTTCAGATAGTGGGAGGTGATTGCTCCCATCCAAGCATAGTCGTCGGCTGAAGGACTGAAGATCGGATAACCCGCCATGTGATCTGTGAAACAGACTGACTAAGGCAATACTGATCGATACTGGAGACTTATCCAAGACGACATGACCGCTAAGCCGCACTGCAAGCTCGGCAGCGGAATCCAACCTGGGCCTTGAGACCGTTTCATTTGGGAGCAGTTTCTCGAGGCCGGGTGGGACCGTTACGCGAGAGATCATTGCGCTCGCCATATATCTAGTCGAGTTGAAGATTACCAAACAACTAGTCCATCAGAAGTTGGAGAAATCCAAGGTTTAAACGATGTTGGAGAATCGGCATCAGGTGGAAGGGCATCAGGTATGCAATTATATGTTAGTTGCTGACGGTAAGCATGCGGCTCTTGAGATTGATCGAGCGCGACTTTGGGGTTTGCTATACGTCGCTCCCTCTTAGTCTCAGGCCTGTCTTCCCTCCTCAAATCCCACCGCTTAGTCGCAGCCGCAATATTGCAGACGAAGCCAGCCAAGCCGTTCTCCACGAGTCTTCCAGCGACTTCGTGACTGATGGTAACCTTCGCACTGTAGCGTAGCTAATACCACGTACCACTGTTCGTCCGTCTCTCGGCTGGCTCGGGTTTGTTTGTCAAGGCTCTTGATAAACGTTCTACTCGTGACTCGTATCATCTACCACGACAAACGTTCTGTTGCCCTCAGAAAAAGTAGGAGGAAGCAAAAGACCGCCCTCGAAGCTGATGACGCCTTTGAGATGACGGGCGTGGTTGGAAATTTGGGAAAATTATCGTTGGTTTCTGCACACTCTTACCCAAATTTCTACAAACTTCCGGAAAGCAAACATATATTCCTCACAAGTGAACTTCATAACACAACATCCGTAATTGTGAAATCAATCACTTCGCAAATATGGGGGGCAATCGGATTGTCTATGAGGGTCCGCCGTTCTCACTGCTTGTCCTCTGAGCATTTCTCACACTGAAAAAATAGGGTGTATACTATAAATGTGTCACCATTCGATGGAGTTTCACAACCCGTTTCACGCGAAGTAGCGTAATACTCGCGCTAGTCGTGAAATATATTTTCTCTAGTGTTTTCCATATCACTACGTCTGAAATTCCAATGATTAATACTAATTTCATAATGTATTCACCTGTACCATAATTGTTGTAATAAGTCGTCTTTCCCTGCCCCATAAAGATCGCCTCTGCGAACTTCATAACACAATAACATCCATAATTGTGAAACGATGCATGTTAATCAATCACTCCGCAAATGTGGAGGGCAATCAGGTTGTCTGTGCGGGTCCGCCGTCCTCACTGCTGGCACTTCCAACAAGTTCTTGTATCTACATGAACAATTTTTCCTTCGAGAAAGAGAAATTCCAAAGAATAACACATCCTGGAAATATTGGGGAACTTTTCCTCCAGCGGGACTTGAAAACGTAAAGCATTGTAGACTTGAGGCACCAGGCAGACATCGGCGATAGACATTTCACCACCGATGCAATACGGTCCATCACCACGTATGCTTTCCTCAACGGTAGAAAGGCCGCGCTGAAAGGGAATTCGGGATGAGTGTTGTTCTCAAGCTTCGTAGACCTATTTTTTTCAATTCGTATTCTACAGTGTGCGGAAAATCGATATTAGCTATAGTACGAGTTTGTTTCGTGTCACCGCACAACTTCAAATGTGGCTGAAATTTTGTATATGTGCTCTTTAACAATTTTAAACTGGAGTTTCATGACCCGTTTTACGTGAAGTGGCGTAAAACTCTGCGAAAAAAACCGATATTCGCGGTGATATGCAGTAGTCGTGAAATAGATTTCACTAGTGTTTTCACTAAAAATATTTTTTTTCACACTTCACTTCGCGAAAAACGCAGTTTATCAGTGAATAACGCGTAAAACACTCAAGTAATTCATCCACGTTCGTTTCACTTCACATCGCGTTTTTCACATACAGTATCACGTCACTTCACATAAAACGGATGAGAGTCTTCTGTAGGGAATCCCCATGTGTCGAGTCTATGACACAGCGTAAAGTGAACAAGACACATGGAAGCGCTACTAAAATGTTGTCTGTGCCTATCGACCTCTTGAATTCTTGCTGTTCTTAGTAGTAGTAAAATAGCTATGTCGTTTTTGACAAAGCTCCTATCTTGGCTATACTTGTGTTATCTCAATACCCTTGGTTGGAATATATCAACAAATGAATAGGTAGACTCCACCACCAACAAGGAGGGAGTAGTAGTAGTTCACCTCTATGAAGTGTGTCACCCATTGATCTCGGACATCTCTACCAGCCACTTTACTGGCGTATTGGAAGACACTTAAATTCTGGAGGGGATGAGTGTCACAGGCGATGATCATAGCAATTGACAGCGCCGCAGCTCTATCGACCTGAGGACTATGCGTGAGCTCTTGTTATGCGAATATCTGTTCGCTTTTACCATAGCAAAATTGTACAGAAAACAACTACGATTTCCCGAAAATTTGACAGAATTTTCATATTGTCACCAACACTACATGCGCTTTTGCTATACCGTGAAATGAAGACACCATGCGAAAAAATTTTCACATTTCGCTCTGCGAAAAACTCGGAGTGTAATTCGCCAAATATTTCCAGTTCACTTCATTTCATGTTTTTCACATAGGCTCATACGTCACTTCTCGTAAAACGTATGAAACTCCATTAACACATTCATCATACGAAGATTCAAAAAAAATATATTCGCACTTTTACGTCATTTCCACTTCGAAAAAATATGCAGCGATAAGAAGTAACACGACTTACACAATTCTCAGGGATGAGTTTTGGAGAGTCGGGAAAAGTCCTATCGAGATAATCGATTATAACCAAACTTTGAGTAATAACGTTTCCGTCGGTGGTCACCAAGGCTGGCAACAGCATTGCTGGGTGGATCTTCTTATATCTAGACACATCCACTATGGTGTCTATCATCATCATCATCATGTCACTTTGGTGACATCATCATGTCACTTTGGTGACATCATCATGTCACTTTGGTGACATCATCATGTCACTTTGGTGACATCATCATGTCACTTTGGTGACATCATCATGTCACTTTGGTGACATCATCATGTCACTTTGGTGACATCATCATGTCACTTTGGTGACATCATCATGTCACTTTGGTGACATCATCATGTCACTTTGGTGACATCATCATGTCACTTTGGTGACATCATCATGTCACTTTGGTGACATCATCATGTTTGTGGGAAAGGAATAGGCACATAGTCAACTATCTAGCGGCACTTATAATGGAGTTTCACAGCTCGCGTGAAAAACTCGATATTCGCGAAATTCAGTAGTCGTGAAATATGTTTTTCATATCACTAGAGCGAAACTCCAGTTGGGAGAACTCATTTTGAATTTTCCACGTATGGCAAGTAACAAATTCTTCAATCAGTTTCCCATGAAAATATCATCACATTAAAAACATCATTTTCCCTATTGTTATCAAACCCCTAAGGAAAGCGATATTTTTCGAAGCCAAATGTGTCCTACGTGAGAAGATGAAAATTCTGAGAGAAAATTTCGGAAAATTTTCCCCTCAAATTTCTGAGCTCAGGTGCTGAGGAAAGCGATTACATATATTCCTACTCCAACACTGTATAGGAAACTCCTGAGCTCAGGTGCTGAGGAAAGCGATTACATATATTCCTACTCCAACACTGTATAGGAAACTCCTGAGCTCAGGTGCTGAGGAAAGCGATTACATATATTCCTACTCCAACACTGTATAGGAAACTCCTGAGCTCAGGTGCTGAGGAAAGCGATTACATATATTCCTACTCCAACACTGTATAGGAAACTCCTGAGCTCAGGTGCTGAGGAAAGCGATTACATATATTCCTACTCCAACACTGTATAGGAAACTCCTGAGCTCAGGTGCTGAGGAAAGCGATTACATATATTCCTACTCCAACACTGCATAGGAAACTCCTGAGCTCAGGTGCTGAGGAAAGCGATTACATATATTCCTACTCCAACACTGCTTCCCTACTCTGGTGTTTTATGTTCCCCCTTCACGAGGTTGATCGGAATCGTTTCATAAGGCAAGCCTTTATAGTTAAGGGCTATTCGCACCCTATATGCGGCACTACTACGGAAGTAGCTGTAGAGTTTCAATGACGACGACATTATGGGAAAAATTACTTACATAAAATTGGAGTTTTACGACTACCCGTTTTACGTGAAGTGGCGTCGTAAAACTCGGTGAAAAACGCGGTGATATACAGTAGTCGTGAAATATAGTAGCGGTAGTAGAAATAGCAGTAGTAGTAGTAGTAGTAGTAGTAGTAGTAGTAGTAGTAGTAGTAGTAGTAGTAGTAGTAGTAGTAGTAGCGTATTGGAGTTCCACGACCCGTTTCACGTGAAGTGACGTCGTAAAACTCGTCGTGAAAAACGCAATATTCTGGCAGTAGTCGTGAAATATATTTTTCACTAGTGTTTTTTATATCGTGAAACTCCTATAAATTCAGTCGGTTCGAAACCAACTAGCTAATACCACAAATTTTAATATTCTCACAAACCCATGTAGTTGACCATGTGCATATTTCCCCTCGCTTTTTTTAAATCACAGATGCACCATTAAAATCCCAAATTTCACTTTTCCTATTCATTGGAGTTTCACCACCCTAGTGATATGAAAAACATATTTCACGACTACTGATGCATATCACCGCGAATAAAATCGCGTTTTTTCACCAAGTTTCACGACGCCACTTCACGTAAAACGGGTAGTCGTGAAACTCCAATGTTCAAATCATAGATCGATCATTATAATCGCAAATTTCACATTTCCTATTCATTGGAGTTTCACCACCCTAGTGATATGAAAAACAATCGATTCGAAATCCGGCGAGGACGATGGATCTCCATTTAATCACAACGTTGGGCAGCCAGGAGGGCCTCGACACTCGAATGCAGTGTGGTAAAATTTGCGCATGATCAACCACATGTGTTGGTGGCAATATGAAAACTCTGAGGAAAATTTGGAAAATCCTTGTTAGTGTCTGTACACTAATCGTATACATTCTCCTAGTTCGTATATAAAATTCTATGATTAGTGAGGAAAATTTGGAGCTCAGCTGAGGAAAGCGAACATTTTTGGCAGCACTGCTCGAATGGGAGGGACAAGAAGTTGGAACAGGGAGGCATAATATTGAGGGGAGGAGACCCCAGTGTAGTGCGTGCGTGCAGACTTATCTTTAGCGCTCGCCCTCACAATCTCGAACTCATATGACGCAAACACATTTCACGACTGCTGCATATCACCGCGAATAAAATTGCGTTTTTCACGACGAGTTTTACGACGCCACTTCACGTAAAACGGGTGTCGTGAGTATTGATGAACCACCTCGTAAGTGGAATCCAATCTTATAAAACCTCTTAGATCATCAACGACTAGCGCAGCTTGTGCTATGTCTTAGCTAAGATATGAATGGAAGTGAAATAACACAAAATGAGGATACGGACCTAGAAGATCTTACCTGAGATCACCACAACGGGTAGTTGTGAAACTTCACTATCTCTAGTCGTACACATGCAACACAATTCGCCGTATGCTCGAGAAAATATCAGCTCAAAAAATTTTTTCCATAAAATTCAATTTTCTACTCCCACCTTTTTCACAGGGAAGTCCGTTTGGCTCTCCGGAGCGGCACTCACGAACGCCGGGTGTCTCCTCAGCTCAGTGTAACTGAAAAAATTCTGATAAAAATTTCGTGGGGAAAAATTACTCACATGTGAAAAATTTTCGGAAAAATTTTTCCACGTCTATACCAACTCGGTTAATCGCATTATAAGTTTG